GTTTTTGCTACTGCGATTAACGACCTGCAAGTACTCAGTCAGTTTCTGCATCTGCTGCTTGCGAATCTCCTCCGGTTGATTCATCATCCACCGCTGAACGCTGTGCAGGGAGATGCTGCCAGGGTCTTCTTGGACGTACACCGCAAAGTCCATTTCTTTCAAGTTCTGCATTTCCGCTTCGAGGTTTGCTTTTGCCTTTTGGATCCACTCTTCGCGCAGGTCTCGTTTGCCATCCCGGTGCCACAAAATAACTCGGCTGATGAACAACATCTGCTGGGCGGAAATCCGTGCAAGCTCGATCTGAGTGAGTTTATATATGCACATGATGTAACGTTCATTGTTCCGACGCGAATTATGCATGACAAATTTTGCAAAAAGTATAAAGAAATACTAAGTCTTTTTGTGCGTCGTCGAATATCACCTCGCCGATTCCGATTCCGCACATCAGATAGGCGATGTCGTCGTAAACCGCATCCAGGTCGGACAGATATAAATAAACCTCCTGCAGATCCTCCAAGAAGCGGCTCCTCAAACTAGTGCGGGTGCGTTCGTGAAGGTCGTTTTTGAGCATTGCAGCATTATAATGCTCAATCGGCTTCAGAATCATGTGCAGAAACCGCGAGACGATGAGAAAAATGAACTGTGTGCCTGGAGATAATTGGATTTATTTTGCATGGTGGTGCACTTTTTTAATCACATACTGGCTTACAGATTGCATTACAAATCATGCTGCCACGAAGTGTCTTTACACATGTAAAAGCGTTTGCATTTCTAAGAATTTGCATTACAGATTTATGCTATACCGCTTTCCTTCGACATGTCCAGCTTGAACCCGTGCTCCAGTATCTTTTCCGCCCCAAAACTGACCCGCTCTCCTAGTCCGTAGAAGATCCTCGCCAAAAACATACTGCAGCACAACAGCATTTGTCCGAGGGCTTGCCGCACTGTGAGCCAGCGGGTCCAGACTGGCGCCCGCCAGCCGCGATACAAACTATGTAATCCACGCAGCGCAGCGGTTCTTCCGTCCTTCGGCACTATCAACATCCGCTGCTTCACCGAGCATCCGCGGAGGAACTTTTTCTTCTTGTAGTTTATCTCGCGTCTGTCCAAGAAGTTGTTAAAGGCTTGGTCTTTCGCCATCGGTTCGCTCTTGTCCCATGGCGCAATCCACCGAGCAACGCCGTCGAGCGAGTTGTGTATTTTTTCGGACAGCAGTTTCACACTGTGCACCTGTAGATTAGAAGTAGTTGGCTTTTGATTTGAAGTGCACATTTGTCATGCAAATAAGCATGCGATCATAGTACTGAAATGCATTACAAAAATCAAAAAAAACAGTACTTGCAGCCGCAGTCTCTTCTGCCATCCTTTCGGATCCAGATTGAGCATCCCGAGATACATCTCGGCTATTTGGCGGGTTACTAGTGCTGCTTGGTGCACCTTACACCTCTGTGTCCACAGCACCACATTGGCCAGGTGCTTGCCCATCATAAAAATTCCGCCGATGAAGAAGAGCGTATTTATTGTGCTTCCACCCGAGTCCGTCACTGGACTCCAAATTTGCACGCACTGCTGCCCGAAACGCCCGAAAAAAATTTCCGGGTTGTGAAACGTCAGCACCTGGTCCGCCACCTCCCATGCTTCTTTCACTCCAACCGCGAAAGCAGCTCTTTTGTCCCTTTACTTTCGCCCCGAAGTTCTGCGACGAAGGATATAGCACGGTGTGCGTTGGCACAAACACCGACCCGATGTTCATCAGGCTTCCGCAGCAGAAGGTAATCGCGACGATCGACGCCATCACATGCGCGAAGATCTTAATCCTCCCCCTCACACTGTTTTCAAACAGCATGCTCTGCGTCGTGGTTCCGTCGATCTCCACCCGGTAGTGGACCAAGGTGAGTTTCGGGTTCGCGAAGTACTCGCGTGCGTACTCGAAAGCCGTCTCGCATAACAGGTAGCACAGCTTCCACAACTTGCGTGGTGCCAAGTAGGCTTTTGCTGTGAAGAATTTTTTGCATTCCTCGTTCTTTTCTTGTTCCGCCTCGGCCTTCTTCTCCTCTTTGTTCATCTTCTCGTCGCTGCCGAAACAATAGAAGATGACCACAGAAGGAGTG